TGAAATGGAACGTAAGTTTCCGAATGATCCGGAGCAAAAGTATTTTTTCTCGATTGATTTTCTTTTTGGTCCGCGGACCGTGGTCTCTTCTCCAAAGAACACCAGATGTTGGTGCCCTTCTCCGAAAAAAAAAAAAACGCGAACGACCAGTAAGTTCGAGGGGTATGATGATGAGTCTTTTTAGCACAAGACGATGAACAAGAAGCGTGGAAGAGTTGCACCATGAGAGTAGAGCACATGACACCATCAAGAGTGGGACGAACAATGGATTGTGTGTGAGAGGCCCAGAATCAAGTGATATAGAGGATTGCAACCAGTACATGAAAACGACACTCCTTGTGCACCTAGTGAAGATGAGTTGACCAGAAACTACACGGAGAGGCTGAGTTGGAGAGTCTGCAGTAACCTCAACCCGCTCGAAACGTGCTGCGCGTGTTGCTACAGAAGATTCCTGCGTGCTGCTTCTGCCACCTACGACAGGAACAAGAGGCTGCTCCTGATAATTACCGCCACGGCAAGTACTTCCAGGAAAAATGGCGACCGCGCGTGGTACTGCTCGTGACACGCCCTTGATGGACCCAACTAACGAGGACCAAGTATGGGGTTCTCAAACGTTACATTCTCAACTGTTGCGTGATTTGTCACGCAAGAACGCTACCACTCTCGCTGTCGACACGATCCAGCCTTCTTCGCATGACAAGTTCATCTTGACGCGCTAGATAGCATTAGAATCTGCGCCAAACCTGTAATGCAGCCACACGGGACGAACAGCCCATAGACCTCCGATGTAATGCAAAAGCCGCAATTTCCCCCCTTTCCCTTATTTTCCCATTCTTGCATTACAAATTCATGCAACAATTGCGAATGTAACATTTGAGAACTCCATACCAAGTCGTGGATGTTGACCGCGTCCAGCTCTCCGTCACATCCCGCACGAGCTTCACCAGTTCCGATGCGCTGCTCAAGTCGCATCGGTTGTCCAAGGCGCGATTTGTCGTGCTCACCATGGGTGCGTTTATGATGTTTGGTTCCTACTTATCCAAGAAAAAAACTGTGTTAGTGTAACTTTCTTTGGCTGACAGCATCACAAATTTGCTCTACATGACAGAGAAAACCTGTCATCTTGCGTGGCTTGTAAGGGAAAATACACAGGAAAAGAGAACTTCATGGCTGTCTGGCATGACAGGTGTAACTCTGTTGCGTGTTTTGCATTACAGATTTACACTTAAATAGTTTTTTTCTTGCATACTACTATTTCTTCGACCAATGCTCCGCGTCGGAACAGGGCGTGCGAGAGCAGCTGAATATCACGGAGCCCCAGTTCGGGTTGCTACAATCGGTTTATTCCTGGCCGAACATGATTTTGCCGTTGTTTGGAGGATTGTTGATTGACGTGTTCGGAATCCGCAAGTCGCTGCTGTTGTTCATGTCCCTGGTGTTCGCCGGGCAGGTGGTTTACTCGCTCGGTTTATTGCAGAAGTCCTTTGCAACGAGCCTGGTGGGGCGAGTGATTTTCGGGCTAGGCGGAGAATCGTTGAATGTGGCGAGTCTGGCGCTTGTGGCGATGTGGTACTTACTTAATGCACGACATAGACATTATGCCGTTCTTGTCCTCTTTGACTTTGTCTACTGTAGTATGTTGTGTTCTTGCAGAAATCATTGAATCTGTGATGCTGTGGTGGTTGCAATTAGAATTCAAATGCGTGCGTGATCATGCGAATAGGAATTTCAAATCAAAACCCAACAACGAACACAGGTTCAAAGGCGCCGAACTTGCCTTCGCGATGGGAATCATAATCTGCGTTTCCCGATTGGGAAGTGTAGCTGCTTTCAACTCGCAGGAGCAACTCATCGAGGCGCACGGCGTGCCGGAGGCGAGCTTTGTCGGTATAGGGAAAGATTTGTTTCTCATGCGATGGCTTGCATAACAGAGGAATTTGTATTGCGCTCTATGGGAAAGCGAATGAAGTCAGTAGTACTTTCTTATTCCTGAACATCTAGTAGAATCATCAAAACAAAAAAAAAGGTTCCGCCATCATGGGTTTTTCCTTTCTTAACTGCCTCGCCGTTTGTTTCATGGACAAACGAGCGGATAAGATCGACGCGAGAACACTCGGGAATACTGATAATTCAGACGAAAAGAACAAAACCGAAACTGAAAGTAGTTCGGAAAACCAAGCCGTCTCCTTCCAGCAAATTCTTGAACTTGGACTCCCCTACTGGCTGATCACCTTCTGCTGCGTCACCGTCTACATCTCCGCGTTTCCGTTCTTCCAAGTAACGTCAGTGTCGTATTTAACAGAGTCCTTCGGCTTCAAACCAACGGACGCGAATTTCATCACCAGCATTCCGAATTTGGTTTCCGCGTTTACCTCGCCGTTATTCGGGTTATTTGTGGACAAACGGGGGAAACGACCGCTGTTCATGATCTGCTCAACGGTGATCTTCATGGCTTGTTTCGGCGCGTTCATCATCTACGGGAATACCTACGGGCGGAATATTAGGAGAAGTTTGACGGCAGATGTTGAACCAGATACGTCGAGCAGAGCGGGTTTGTTTGGCGAAATTACTGCAGCCGCAAATTTGTTAGCCAACAGCTCCTACCCCCAGCCCTGGTCCATCATCGCTGTTTACGTCGCTCTGGGCGGCGCCCTCTGCCTCTTCGGCGCGGTGATGTGGCTATGCATTGCAAAACTATCGGACTATTGAGAAATCGCATGACAAATTTTTGCACGATAAAAAATGGAGTTTGTAATCCTGAATTAGGTAGGCGTAGGAGAGTAGATCTGTCATGCATAAAACGCAATTAGTTCTTCGACATTTGCAATGCATAGTGTCCCTGCATCCCTTTAGTCGTGGACGCGAAACTGGTTGGGACGGCGTTTGGAGTGACAACTGCGGTCCAGAATCTCGGTTTGGGGACCGCGCCGGTAGCGTTTACTGCGCTGAAGGATAACGGTGGAGGTAGTTTCACCGCGACGTTTGTGGTGATTATTGTCAGTAACGCATTGGCGTTTTTAGCCGGGGGATACCTGCACCGGATCGACAAAACGCAGTTGGGGGAGAAGCTGGGGAAACCGTGAGGAGGGAATAAATGAGTGGTGCAGAACAGAAATCAACTTGAAATTTTGCGTTTTAATACGACAGATATTTGGATCTCATTTGTTTTTGTTGTAAAGGAAAGTCTCATCTTACGAGGAACAGAAAGAAAGCAGGTTCCTTCTCTTTTTGCAGATCATGCATTCGCAATTTCTTAAAATCAAAACAAGCTGTACTTTTGCAATGAGTTTATCAATCGTTTTCTGTGCGATCACGACGTGCACAAGTCTTCACATGTATTTTCACATGATAATCAATCAACGCTACAGTAATAATTTCTTACTAGCCAGAAAAAGAAATGCGTGCTGCTGGACAAGAAGAGCGGAGCCGCGGCTGCGCAAAAAAGCTGCTCTGCGACCGGCAAGTTGTACGTCGCAATGTACATGGAAGTAGATTGAACGATTAACAACAACAAGGTTTTTCAGAAATAGATTCGTCCTCGTAGTTGTTTCCATCGTCCTTTTGTGTTGGTCGTGCAAGTCCAATCGAATCCATGCAAAATCGTGTTTTCTCTTGACGAATGTCGTTTTGTTGCAGCTCTTGTCCTCGTCCTTGTTCTTCTAGTTCTCGTTCTTCACTTGTCCGAAAGACAAAGACGTCAATGTTGATGACCTGCTTGATGTTGGTTCGAACAAGGCAAAATTCTTTACTATGTCAGTCTAACTTTATTTATTCTACCCTACTCATGACAGAAGCGATAAGATATTAACGTGCCACCTACTTACATCTTAGGTCCTGCATGCTCACGAAGAAACTTGTTTCAGTCTATTTCCACCAGCACGTGGCACTATTCAACCGAGTTTATTTCCCCCTTCTACACATCAAGTCGAAGTCGTAATCCGCATCTTCACGATGGCGCAACTTCTACTATCCAAGCGAGCGGTCTATTCCCTGATTCTTGGTTTGCACCTCCTGCGCTTCCTCATTGCAGTACTAGACTCGAACGAGACAAACGCAGCTTGGGTGGACCACCCCACTTACGTAACTGCCAAGAGGACGACTATCGCCAGGAAGACAGAGAGTGGTACTTCATCATCCTCTCGCCGGGAGGCGACCGCGCGGAGTAGTACTACAACAGCAGATTTTCGACCGGCTAGTACTTCCACACGACCTCATGGTCGACGAGAGAAAGGCGCGTCGCAAAGGGCTTCTTTTATTTCTCCGCTGGACGAGAGGCAGAGGCGCTTCCGGAAAAACAAACATGGTGGTCGCAGGAGTAGAAATACCTTGCTCCAGATGAAGAAGAAAATAAAGGCGTCAGCGAAGACGTCGAGAGCGTCCCCTTCAGCAGGCACAAAAAATCGGATCGATGCACGGAGAGGTGGAGATGACGATGCACAACATGCAGGTGAGCCAGAGAAGCATGTGCTGCAAGAAAACGACAAAACGTCCAATTCCGATAAGAAACCCCTGCTCGACCGCGTCGGAAACTTGCTCCTGGACAAAAGCCACGATTTGCTGATCAACAACCAAGGGCGTCGTGGGCCAAATAACAGCACAAATACAACGTTTACAAGAACGACCGGATCTAGCACTTCTCCTGATGATGGTACACCAACAACAAAAAAGCCGGCGGACCTCAACCTCAACGAAGTCAAAGAGTTAGTGGTCGATAAATCCCGCGACCTATTAACCAACAACCGGGGGCGCGGTCCAGACGGTTCGGTGGGCCGACGGGGTCCTGATCGTGGTAACAGGGGGTCGAGCGCCGGAGATCGCTGGTCGCCGGGGGGCAGAGCGGAGGGAGAAACAAGTGTTGATACTGAGGACCATGGTCTTATGGATGTGTCAGGTTTGAAATCGTCAAAGTTGAAATACTTTGTCATGCATAAAACGGATACCAGTTAGACCTACAGTTTGTAGTCGGTGCATGACAAATTTTCCCGGTCATGGAAGCGAGTCTGTCATGCGGTTTAGGGCAAAAAAGCTGCCTTCTGTCATGCTAGTCAGCAGTCCAACTTTTGACCCTTACCAGGACTATAATCTGCCTCCCGTGGGTCCTCTGCAATAGAGTCACTTTTTGTATCGCATTTTATGCATTGCAAATTATTTCAACTTTGACGATTTCAAACCTGACGCTTCCATAGGTCTTGATATTCCGAGTCCTGTTCCACCAAGTTCTGTATCAGACGAGGATTTGCGTCAAGACCAGTCGGACGCTGTGCCGTCGCAGGGGTCCGATAATAGCACGCCTGCGCCGCATCAACATTTGTCATCCTCGGAAGAAAGCCTTGGGGACAAGCTAAAAAACCGAGCGGGAGAAGAAAATGACGACTCGGGAAATCTTTGCTGTTGATAGCGTCAGTCTTGTGTTGGTTTGCACGTGAACTTGTTCAACGTGACTTGTTTTCAAAAAGTGCTCGTTCACTAATATGTCTACCCGTATTCAGTTACCCCCGCAGCACTTTTTCTACTGCCCTCGCAACTTCCCCCTTCGTGAACCCCATGATTATCGTGAGTCGGTATTTTTGTAAGTACATGTACACTTTTTCTAAGACTAAGTAAACGTTGGCTACTGCCGGTCACACCACCGGTCGTAAAATGAAAAATCTGGTCCCTTCATCTGTTCGTGAGTCACGGGTCTCTATTCGTCTTCGCGCTTCAGCATCTCACGCCTTTCCGTTCTTCATCGTTACATATTTTTCGTGCTTGTTATTTTGTCGTTCTGTTCTCGTTGCTGCACGAGAAAAATCTCCTAGACCACCATGGTCGCCAGCTGCACCGCTTCGTTTGTCGTCGACGTTCCACGAGCAATTTCATGAATACAAGTTCGTGCATAAGACAAAATCTGATCCCCCCTTGTCTCTGCAACGAAGCATCGCGTACATCAAGACTACTTCGTACAACATCGAGACAAGTGCATGACTGTCAGGATAGACTGGACCATTTCGTGCTTTTAGATCTTCCTCTATGCTGGCTATGTCGTTCATTGGCCGAAGCAACTCGTTCTGTCGTCATGCTTTAGCGATCGACCGACATTGTGATTGTTGCGATCAGTTTGGTTTCCCATCCCGACTTAGTTCAGGACCACTGCTTATTTGTTTCCAGTTTCAGATCTTCTTGTTTTTAAGTTCTACTTCTGGCGGCGTGATAAGGCTAACGAAAAGCAGCAACTACGAGATCATGATCATGATATCTGTGAAGGCGATCTGCATCATCGTAGGTGTCCACCTCCTGCATTTTTTCCTAGAAGATTTCCTCAATGTTTTTCAACTCCAGAGATTTGCTTCTGCAGTGAAGATCTTGCACAGGAAGAACGAGGGACGAAAGCAAGACCACAATGTTGCCACACAACGAACTGCCGTGCATCATCTTAGCGTCTCGCCCGGCGAACAGCGAGATACTAAGAGCCGGACGGAGCAATCCGAAAGCTCACCTGCGCCAAACTATGAAAATGGAAAGGCTACTTTGTCTTCGCACTCCCTCCTCGCGCGGGGTCGGAGTGGTGGTGCGGGAAGAATTGCGCGCGGTAGTCTGCTGGAACAGAAGAAGAAAACCAAACGTGGTACTTCTTCATCTGAACAAGCAGTAGCTTCTGAACACGCGAAAACGACAAGCGCAGTGAGTGTTCTTGCAGCGGCAAAAAAGCGTGCTGAGGAGGGGGAGCCAGAGCTGAACATTCCCGAAGTCCTTCATTTCCCAGAGGGGACGAAGCATGTTGTGGAAGAAAGCGAAGAAGATTTGGTCACTGACAGAACAACAACCCCCACTCCACCCGCAACGAACCTCACAATGATCCCTGAAGGTCTTCCCGAAAAACAGCGAGAGGAACAAGACAACAACCTTCACGATGACATCGCGAAACTGCAGGAAGGCGGGGATTTCGCGGAGCAAGCCAGGCTCAGCGCGTCCATGTGTTACCACGTTATTCTCCCGCTCCACGACATGACGCGGCATTTCGGATACATCCACAGCAAGCAATTACCCGGGCTGTTTACGAAGGAGGAAGCAGAATTTCTCCGGGAAGAGGCGGAGATTGACAACGCTTACAACTTATGGATTGCAAAAATGTCTGGGTCTGGAAAAATGCAACTTGTGATGCTGCATTCGGATTCCAAAAAAATCTGTATTGCATGATCAGCAAGGGGAATGCGATTCTTGCTACCCGGAGAGGGCATTTGTCATGCGGAATAGGCATCAAGATGCCCTCAAAACATCTGTGATGCTAGGGCAGGCATCACAGACATCATGGCGCATGCAAAACGTGCATCACAAGTCTCAGAATCTTCCAGACCCAGACATTTTTACATTTGATACACCTTCCAAAACAAGCACCTCGGCGACAGGGTCGCCTACCCCTGGTTGGTTTACTGTTTACCGGAGGGGAGTTTGGTGTTTGCGAATGACCCGTTGGGCGAAGATCCACCGCGGATCCGGTTTGCGCCAGATTTGGATAGGGAAAAGGGGAAGAGCGAGCAGAAAGTTTTGAAAACATCAATCGGTGGAACAGGAGGGAGTAGTGCTGCTGCGGTTTACAAAATGATGGGAGGTGGAAATGATGGTGTTGAAGGAGCTAAAGCCTCTACTTCTTCTTTTCTACAGCAAGCGGTGGCCGCGAGTTCTGATGCTGATCAAGCTGTGGAACTTGCACAGATGACCAACATGACGGATCATGAGCAAGGTGCTGGCCGCACGACCGTGGAGCCGGTTGCAGATGACATCGACGCAGCCACAACAGGCGAAGAAGAACAGCCGCAAAACCGCACCGCTCCAGCTGATGCTCCCGCTGATGTCAAGACGGAGGAAAAGATTTTTTACACGCGTAAGAACTTTTTTAGCGGCGAAAACGAGAAGTATGCGAACTCGATCGGACAGTTTTGGGAGGATTTGGTCGACGAGAAGATGCGAGAAATCAACGCGGTGGCGTTTGGGGGGAGTAACAACAAAGTTTACTACTACGCCGTGTACGGAAAGGTCGGCGTGCACGAGAAAACGCAGGCGAAGCTGCAAGCTAGTTTCGCGCCCGCCATGCCGGAGGCGCCGCCGCTTCGTGCCGTGGAGGGGGTCGAAAATGGTGGTGCCGGTGGATCTGGTGTTGCTATGAACACAACTTTGTCAGATGCCTTGAAAAATGCAGCGAAGGAGGTGGAGAACAAGACGGAACTCGATTTGGGGCTGCCGGAGTGTTGTTAGAAAGCGTCTAAGGGACGAATTTTTGTTCATCGACGAGGAAGAAAATTACCGTGTTTCTATTGCATCTTGAGTCATTTTTCTGTTTGGGTTTCTGAACTGAGCAACCCTATCTTGACACCTAGTGTATGATCTTGACTTCTTTCCTCGTACTTTACGCAGTTTAGTTTTCATATTCATCACCCCATTTCTGGACCGAGAAGTCCCATGGAGAAACCACGCACCCATTTTCACTGATTGTTCCCGTATTGCTTTTTTTCAATGTAGTGTCGCACAACCTGCTCTCCTCTACTACCTATGCTTACCCATTGTATCAGTCTATGCATATCTTCAAGAACCCCATGCCCACCCACCTGTGACGAAGGAGTTGATTGAATGTTAGTGTAACCCACAAGTGAAAGAAGTAAGTGAAACATATTCACAACTTGCAATTTTTTCCCTGATCATTGTCATAGAAAAAGAAAAAAGAAGAAACGCAGGCTTTTCCAATTGAGTCATGTGGCTCGCCTGCGGTGAAGGGACAAGAGGTTCGCCTTCCGTAGTTCTGATCCAGTTGTTCCAGCGTTCGCGCTCCCGGTTTGGGCGTTGCCCTGAGTAGAGCAATGAGAGCGAGACTTCAGTTTCGGGGCTGCGCGGCAATAGCGGGCGCAGTGTCACTTATCTGGTTGGCCTTGTCTAAGGATCCGCAGACAGCACCAGGAGACCGCGGGGCCCGGCGGGGTTTGTTTTGCCCTGGCAACGGCCCAAAATGCCGAAGCGGAGCGGGGAAGCCGTCGGATGACGGTAAGGAGAGGAGACGGGCGCGCGCGGGTGGCGATGTGGGCGGTGGGTCGCGCAGCCTCGCCGATTTTGCCGGGCGGGCGGGCGGTGGGCGACAGGCCGATGAGGGGGGCGATGTGTTTCATCCGGACACTGGGGGCGCGCCGCTAGGGCATTGCAAACAGTTTGAGCTGAACAGAGGAGATTCCTATGAGAATCCAGGCGGTTGCAAGTGCCACCCGCCCAGAAGTCCGGGCGCCTTCCTTGGCAGGCCCAGCGCGCCCCTTGATCGTGAAGTGGGGCGCACCCTTCGGGCAGAGCGAACTGCTTCGAGCGGTGCTGGAATTGGCTTGGCCATTGGGGGGGCCTTCGATCGGCGGCGCCATTGTTGGGCTTGGCCGGCCGGTTTGGCTTATCGGCAAGCCTGCCGCTGCGGGCGGGTGGCGCTTTCCGCCGTCTTGTGGCGGTGCCATGGTGGCCGGTTCTTCCCGCCGTTCATGGATATGGGGCGGAGCCGCGCCGGGCACCTTGGGCGGCCGATCGGGGCCGAGTGAGGCTCGCGAACTTCGGTAACCACTACGCACAACCAATGGGGCCGACCCGCAGGGCGCCGCTTTTTCCTACCTTCGCCCGATGGGTCGGTCGCCCGCAATGGCTTGGCCGGCGCCATTGCCCGCGCGCCGGCCCGCGCATTGTTTGCGGCGCGCGAGCCCCCCCTGGGGCGTCAGGGGTCTTGCCTTGGGTACTTCCGGCGCTTGGGGGCAGCCGGTCTGTGCGGTTCGCACGCGCGCCCGCCGGGGCCCGAAGGCCCGCCCCGCGATTTCCGGGGCCCCCGGCCGCGCCGCCCGCCGGGCGGCTGCTGGCCCGCTAGTTCATTGCGTCGGCGCGGGCGCCCCCTACCCAATCATCTTGGCCCAGAAGGAGGGCGCCGTGGCCCGCCGGCCACCCGCCCCATCGGCAGCCCTGAAGCCGGCTCGGGGCCTTTGGGCGGCTACGTGGTAGCGGCGGCCCGCCGGGCGCAGGCGATGTGTGCCATTGGTTTGATGGCGCCGCCCTTGTGTGTGGTGCGCGGGTGTACCAGCCGCGCCGCCCTTTATATGTTTCTTTCCTGTGGAACGCGAGGCAGTGGCCCGGCGTTTCTCACCGCCCGCCTGTGCACAGTAGAATTTGTCGAGCCCTTCCACTTTTTCACAGAAGCAGACTGCGTAGCGATGTGGCTGCATAGCTGTGGGTGGACGGTTTCCGTGTTCTTCCCGTTCGTTATATTGGGTCTTCTGATAGGGATAGACGAGGTTGAGCATGTGTGTATGTTTGTCTGCATGGTGCTTGCGAACTTCAACTTGTCTGCTAACAACAAAAGGTGAGGGCGTTTGTCATATAAAAGATGGACACGGGGGCGAGACCACCTGTGGCAAATCAAAGATCGAGAGTTGTATCATTTTAGTGTGTGACGTTGCTCCATGCGCGAAGCGCTTGTGCGGTGGTATGCTAGACACAGCACGCGACGATAAAGAAGATGAACAAGGTCAGTGCATAGATAACTTTCTATTCTCGGAAAAGATCTCACGCTCCATGCGGGTTACTCCTAAGTGCTGCCATTCCGGACTCCAGGTTGAGTAACTCCAACCTTTTTATAGCAATTGTCCTCGTAGAAGTAGCCCACCGAAACAAAAAACAACAACATGGTCCTCATCGAGGAGGTTGAATCCCCGAAGGCGGCCGACCGCAAGGCCGAGGGGAACGGTTTTTTCGCGAAAAGCCAGTGGTCCGAGGCGATTCAGTCCTTTTCTGAGGGGATAAAGAAGATCCACGACAAATCGTTGGATGACCCCTCGGTGCTGTATAGCAACCGGGCGATGTGCCACATGAAGCTGGCCGACTGGAAATCTGCTCTGACGGACAGCAACGACGCAATTAGGATGAACAAGCACAATGCGAAAGCGTGGAACAGGAAGGTAAAGGGAAGATTCTGTGTTTGTCATGGAGAATCTGCATCTCACATCAACATGCTTTGCACTTGTCATGCCTGAAGATCTAGGAGAGACAGAGAGTTGTTGAAAACGAAAACCCAAAGCCACCTCATCTCCACAGGGCCAATGTCTGATGAAGCTGGGTCGCTTGGAAGACGCGAAAAAGGCGTACGAAATGTCGTTGACCGTCGCTACCGACGCGTTGAGGCCGAGCATTCTGGAGACGATCGAGGAGTTAGAGGAGATGTTGAAGAGCAAGGGAATAGTTGTAGATGGGGAGAATTCAACATCAGCCTCAGAAACCACAACCACAGCTAGTAGTGCTGCAACGCCGCAGCCCGCGGAGAAGAAGCAGAAAATTGAGCCAAAAACCACGACCAGCACTGCTTCCACGTCAAGTTCTACGTCCTCGTCTTCCGGAACTTCAACATCAAAATCTCATCAACAGCAGGACTTCGCCCACCCATCCCTCCAAATCCAGTACATCCCACAGAAGGGAAGGGGGATTATCACGAAGAACAAAATCAAGAAAGGCGCACTCCTTATCTCCGCGCGGCCGGTTTGCATTGCGCTGAAATCGGATATGAAGGAGAAGATGAACAACTTGGCGCACAACTCAAATGATTTGACCGAAGAAACAGCGAGATTAGTTCTCCAACTCCACATATGCATTGCAAATATGTCTGGGTCTGGAAGAATTCGAATTTGTGATGCGAAACTCTACATCATGACAAAATCTGTCATGCACGGCTAGCAAAAGGCCTCAGTTCTTGTTACCGAAAGAGGGGACTTGTCATGCGGATTAGGCATTGGGGTACCTGCTCAAAATCTGTGATGCTAGAGCTTGCGTGTCAGACTATTTGGGTCAGGCAAAAACTGCATGACAGATCTCGCATTCTTCCAGACTCACACATATTTGCATTTGATACCACAACGACTCGAGTAATAACACGATAAAGCAGCAGGTTTTGAAAAGGGACGACTTGCCAATCCCGCCGTCCGTGGATAGGATTTTGATGCGAAACAGCGGGAACGATTTCAGGACGAAACCGGTGTCGACGGACACGGCCTCGAGGTTGACGCCGAAGGTGATCTCGGAAATTTTAGAGGCGAACACGTTCGGGTTTGACGACGGCGACGCATTGCAGATATGCATTGCAAATATTTCTGGGTCTGGAAGAATGCCACTTGTAATGCGAAGGCTCGACTAGAAAAAAATCTGTGTTGCAGGAACGCCAAAAGCTGCCCACTTCTTGCTAGGCACAAAGCGGATTTGTCATGCGGGATCTGCATCAAGAAGGTCTCGCAAAATCTGTCATGCTTGTGCGTGCATTCCAGACCCTGTGTGTGGTCTACGGCGTGCATGACAAATCTTGCATTCTTCAAGACCCAGATATATTTGCAATGCATAGTAGAACGCGACGGACAAATATTCCGGGCTGTGGTTACTTCCCTCGTTCATCAACCACAGCTGTTTGAGCAACGTGAATAGGCGGGTGTTGTGGAAGAAGGAGGGGACGAAGGATGAGGTGGATTATGAAATGCAAAAGCTTCGGACTAGTAGTGTAGAAATCGCATGACAAATGCCCTCAGCATGATCAAGGAAATTTGTATTGCGGATTTGCCTTAAGAGAAAAAGTTCGTCATGCATGGTTGCGATTACTACGAGCCGCGATACTTTTGCAATGCATACGGATATGAACGCGGTAATGGAGATACGGGCGGGCAGGGATCTGGAAGTGGGAGAGGAACTTTGTTTCACGTATTTATTTAAAGTTGTTTAGAAGGAGCAGTTTGTCATTCCAAATCCGCATGGTTTCTGACGGTCTGTCTTGCACGCAGAGCATCTGTAGCTTCGCTTTCTCGACGTCATGCGTATTAGAACTACATCCCAAGAAATACAACCTAAAAAATCAGCTACTGCCCCACGACGCAGCCTCTCCACCTGCGCGAAAAATCCCTCGAGTCCTACGGGTTCAAACCGCAAGATACCCGCTGCAAGTTAGAACGCATGCTTATCCTGAGCAAAAAATTCCCAACCCCAGAGTTCTTGTCAAGTTGGGAACTTAGCAACACCAATTCAGAAGTTTTTGGACTCACGCGTGACAAGTTCTCCTCTGTATGGTAGTGCTCTGCAGTTTCACAAGGGCAGCCGCATCGCAAAGCCAACTTCTTATCATGTTTACAGCATTACAAATGCCAAAAAACGACTGAAAATTCCTCTCATAGGGATGCGCAATACAAATGTTCCTGTAGTTACATAGCTGCATGACAAATCTTGGGCGGGAGACGTTTTTGCTCAGGATAATGCTCCTGAAAGAATCCTTTGCCGCGGACATCACCGCAGAGACGAACAAACTCGGCCAGGCGCTGGGCGGTGAGACCTTATCGCGAGAAAAAACTGTGTTATTGTAACTTTCTTTGAGGAATAGCATCACAAGTTTGCTCTGCATGACACAGAAAACCTGTCATGCGTAGCTAGTACGTGAAAACACGCACGAGAAGAGCTTCTAATGCATGTCCGGCATCACAAGTCCAAGTGTAATTGTCTTTCATTGTGTGCAACAGTCTTACACAGTTTTTTTATTGCATAGACCTTCGCGCAGATTTACTCCAAGTACGTGGCGCTCCGAATCAAACTGGAGACGAAATTGAAGGAGATTGTGAACTCGGAAGACGTATCAAATGCAAAAATGTCTGGGTCTGGAAGGATCCGAACTTGTGTGATGCGAGTAGCGGATCATACAAAGATCTGTGATGCATGACTGGCAAAAGGTTCTGACTTCTGGCCATTCTGAGAGGGTATTTCTCATGCAGAATAGGCATCACCAAGGGGCTGTAGAACCTGTCATGCTAGGCCCCGCATTCCAGACTTGAGGGAGCTTGGAAAAACTGCATGACAAACTTGCAGTCTTCCAGACCCAGACATATTTGCAATGCATAAGACGCAACGAAGGCCATTTTAACCGTGGACAGGACGTTGTCGAAAGCGACGCTCTACTATCCGCGGAAAAAAAACATCCCCATCGTCCATTTTTTGCATGACAAACAAAAAACTCTATACGTGTTTTGCATGACAAATTGGATGAGGATGGGTTTTTTTCTAGGGATATCTACAACTGGTTCTGCGCCTCTTTCACCTCCGTGTTCGCCGCGCAGGCGATGTTGGCGTCGCAAATCCAGGAAGCAGATTCCGCGTATTTGCACAGGAAGGCCGCGATGATAGTGGCGTCGGTTTTTCCAGCCTGTCCGTACGAGGCGCATTTTTTGAAGGGCGCGGGCGATTTGGAAGAGGCGCAATTCGTGTTTGGGTGTGTGGCAGGTACTAATTTAGCGGTAGTGGTTTTATTCAGTGTTTTGCTGTGTTTTTCATGCAGAAGAAACAAAGCGCGCAGTCTTTAGTTTTATCATGCATTGTCATGCTAGAGATACTTACATCATCATACGACACGAACTAAACCCAGGTATGAAAGAGCCACAGTTCGTGGAAAGGTATCCGGAGACTAAGGGAAAGAAATACGATCCGACGCCAGTTCTTGAATGGGAGACAGTGGATGCGGAAGGTATGAAAAAAGTTCGATTTTGTCATGCGAAACTGTGCATACTAGATTCTTTTGTCATGCAGACAACCACGATCATTTGCGATGCAAACAAGCAAGCAAAAAGCTCCACACTTGATGTTCTGCAAATCCCTCAAGGTCAACCGCCGTTGTACATCCTCGAAATCCCCGACTGCAAGGATTCCTCCACCGCGAAAGTTAGCCTCTCAGCGACGGAACTTTGCATCAAAGTCGACAACAAGAAGGAGCGCTACTGCTGCTTGCCCGTGGACGCGAATTATTTGCTCGGTGCGGAGCCGGTGGCGAAGTCAAAAACGGAACTGGTGATCACCATGGGAGTGAACCGGGTGATTTGAAATTATGGTGGAAGGTGCTGGCGCAGCTTTATCCAGATGTTTATTGTTCTTCACGGAAAATTTAGTTCTACCATCACCATTTTTCTCATGTGGATGTCGAGAATGTACATTTTATCACTCAACGTAGCGGTTTAGGTTTTTTCTAGAGCCAGTGTCAGTGAGTCTGTGGGAATTAGTGTTTACAGAACCGGGTGGAGGGTCCTCAATGTGTTAATTTAGATACCATCGAGCAGCAGGCAAAGTCGAACGTAGCCGCCCTGTTCTAGTGCCTCAACACAACGGTTAAGTCTTTCGTCTATGGTCCACCGCAGGGTTCTTTTTTCCACTAAGAATTTTGAACAAGGACAAGGGCCAGACATTGCTGAATATCAAACAGGTTGGGGGGAGTAGATCATACGCAAGAATGAAAAGCGACTGTGAGATAGCAACTTTCCGAAGCCGCTCCTGTGACAGCTCTTTCCGAAGCTGCTTCTGTGATAAAGATTTTCTTGCGGGCCTGGGGTGGAGTGACCTCCAGCCAGCCAGTGTTCGTGTCTTCCATTCTGAATTTGCGCCGTGCTTGAGCAGACCGAGCCGCGCATTGCACCACTAAGCGACGCAATAACGGTTTCAGTTTCAGTGTCAGAACTGGCGCGCCAGGAGCCGGAGCGCAACACGTCGGCGCAAACCCGTCGGCGATAGACGCCACGGCGAGAGCGATTCGACGCGCGTCGGGCAGTGGGGCCGCAAAAATTTGCGCGCCCTGACTGTGCGGGCGCGCGCGCTGGGGGCGCCGCTGGTGCCCGGGCCCGCGCAAAATTGCGCCGCTTCGCTTTGCGCGAGGCCCTTGGTGGGAACGCGCCGGGGAAATCATTGCGAGGACGATGCCCGGCGACTTGGGAAAGCACCCGGCCGGCCCTTGCTCGCTCAGGTTCGTGGCCGCGCGCCCGTCCCACACAGCGGCGGCGCTCGAAGCTTTTAGGCGGGTGGGAAAAGGGGCGCCGCCGGTCGCGCGACGGCGCGGCCGTGCGTAGGCTCCCGGGCGGGACGCCGTGCGACTTGGGTGCCTGCCCGTCCGCGGCCCCGGCCGCCTTTGGGCCGCGCGGCGGGTTGCTTTGCGCCGCTTGGGCGGCCCCTCGATTGGCGTTGTGTCGTGACGTGGCCCGCTGGCGCGCGCGCGGGCGATTTAAAAGGCAAAAGCCTGGCGGTGACCGCGCAAGCGGCGGCAACCGAGCCCCTGCCGCTCATGAATCTCCCGCCGGAATACCTGTACGCAGTCGAGCCCGCCGCGAGAATCATCGACGGACCCGGCGGCCGCCGGGCCCGCTCTGGTCTCGGTGCCCCCGCCCACTTGGGTGGACGGTCGAGGGCCTGGCCGCCCGGCCCCGCCCCCGGCCGCTTCCTTCGCTTTGGGCCGGCGGGATATTAATTCCGCCCCCCGGACCCGCCGCGCGCGGCCCTGCCTTGTTAGCTTGGCGAGCTTCCCGGGGCGGCTTGGGTGACGCCCCTCCCGCGGGCGCCTTTTTGGGCCCGCCCCCCCGCCCCGCGACTGTGCTTCTTGTGGCGAGCGTGCGTGCGCCACGGCGGGTGGCGCGTGGCTTCTGAGTTGGGCGCCCCCTTCGTTAGGACGGAGGCAGGTGGCGGCCCCCGTGCCTGCTCGTGGAGCATACGGACGCCGGCCGCCAATTCGAGACCACGTAAGCAACCAGCACGTTGTGGTGTGGGCGTGGAGAGGCTCAGCGCTGGTCCGCGCGCAAAGGGCCGTCCGCGCCATTGTCGTCCGTCTAGCGGGACGGGAGTAATGTCCACTGTTGCAACCATCGGTCCAGCTGCCGCTTTCACAAGCGTTTCTCGGTTCAAAATAGTGTGTTCGTTCGTATTGCCCTTCTGCTCCGCCTCCGCGGCCGGAGATGTTGGATTTTATGAACAAGGGCCATCGACGCAGGCCTGCTCCTGCGATATTGTCGGTACGTTTTCTCGTTCCGAACGATGAACAAGATTTCTATGGGGGGTGTGGGCGATTTGTTTGTGAAGGTAAGTAAGTGCTGCATGAAGCTAACTAGAATATTCACATCTAGTTGTATTGATAGTCCTTGTCTTGAGGAGGTTTCCAGCCAGTGTAGGCATTGATTCTTCAGTTCCAACGCCGGGCGTTTACACTTCTCCGGTGAAGATTCAGTGCTTGTAGAATTTGTTTCGCGAATGCAGGAACACTAAAGCTAGCAAACTGCGTCACATTCATCACACAGTAAAAGTGAAAGCCAAAATTACTTCAAAATAAACCTCACCATGCCGTCTTCATCCTCGACAGTTCCCTCCAACAACCCGAATTCCCTCGAGAAACCCCAACATGTTCCCGATCTGAAAAACCTGATTGACTCCGCCGGCGTGGGCGGACAGCTGTTCAAAAACTTCACTTCGGGAGTTGCAAATAACTCCGGAGGCGGCTTTATCAAATGCAAAAGTGTCTGGGTCTGCAAGATTCTTGCGAGATTTCTCATGCTGGTCTGGCATCACTCTAAAGTCTGTGTTGCGGGGCCGCGAAGAGCTCCTCCTCCCTGTCATTCAAAAACGCAGTTTCTCATGCGGAATACGCAACTCAGAACCATGGAAAAAACTTGTCATGCTTGGCAGCGCATTATAGTGAGTTCACTATTCCCTTTCTTGCATCACAAGCTGCCAGACCCAGACATATTTGCAATGCATAGGCTCTATGGTATCCAAATTGGCGAACTTCAAGGACAACCTCCTCGCGAAAACAGGCCCGGTCTTCGAAGCGAAGTCGGAGTTCTTCCAGAAGGCGCTGGCAAAGATAGACGCGAATGGAGACTATCAACTGTAAAAATGTCTGGGTCTGGAACATTCTGACACTTGTCATGCACGTTTTGCATGAGCCCTGATGTCTGTGATGCATGCCCTAGCATCACAGATTTTTTCAGAGCTTCTTGATGCCTTTTCCGCATGAGAAACGCCCTCTCCGCGTAGCAAAAATTACATTCCTTCTGGTACTCATGCAATACAGATTTTTCTGGAATCCAAGTGCAGCATGACAAGTTGCATTCTCCCGGACCCAGACATTTTTACATTTGATAGAGACGGGAACTTGTCCATTGAGGAATTGGAGGACGCCGGGGTGAAGATGGTCAGGAAGGTGGAGGAAGTGTGGGGACCGGTATTTTAGATAAAGATGTTGTACATATCTATTACTCCCAGAATTGTTTTGCGATTCCAATTTACGCATGACAACTTCCTGTTTGTGCGTATGGCATGCAACACAGATTTCAATCCCCTCAGCAAACCCAGCAACATCGGAAATCATGATCAGGTCAAAGCCGCTCTCCACAAGTACCAGGACGGGGCTTCCCTTGCGGTGGGTTACCTCGCGGCGTTCTACGGCGGGAATTTCAAGCTTCTCTTCATGGCGTCCAACCTCGCGGGGGGAAGTGAGGGGGAGTATGCAGTGCAAAAGTATCGTACTCGTATCAATTTCAATGCATTACAACAAATTTCCTCAGCGTGAGAAATGAAATTTGCAATGCTAATTTGCCTCAGGAACAGAATTTGTAATGCATGATTACAATACGACTACGATACTTTTGCACAGGATAGGGAGGAAGTGCTCGCGACGTTCCGGGAGCTGGTTCGGGTCAGCGCGGAGGCGAAGCAGAAGTTTAAGGAAAAGCTCGGGCCGGATCACGTCTTGATCCGGACGGAGTCGAAGGCGGAAGATGGTATTATAGGATTTTGTGTCGAAGAACTTCTTATGTTCGTTGCGGCTTGCCACGTAGGTTAGTTTCGAAGTTTAGCATGACAAAAAATGAGATGTACAACTGCATTACATCCAGGTTCCAGTCCCGAAGAGCAGGTTGAGTTCGCCAACACAGCGAATAAATCCGGCGACCTTGCTACCGCGACTACAACTACCCCTTTGACGCAGCAGCAGCAGCAGCAGTTTCCCCGCTCCTCCCTCGCGCTCTCTATCCCGACCAATACCATTATGGCCTTTCTCTCCTGCGTCGAGCCGCACAAACTGATGGAGTGCGTCTCCTCCGTGTACAAAGCTTTTCTCATCGCTTTGTGTGCGACTTTGAATAACAACGCAGCGAAATTCGGCCTGGGGCTGGCACTGGGGGAGAGGATATCCACCTTTCTACTCGCGATGATGGATCGGGTGTTGTTGAAAGCGGAGAACGAGGTGGTTTGGCTGGAGAACGGATCTGGCAATAGTGCGGGCGAGGGACAACAAGATCCGCACAGCAACACGACATCGAAACTGCACGACATCAAAGATACAACAGCTGCTACGGGCAGCAGGAGGGGGTCCACGGCGAGTCAGGCCAGTGTCGGGAACAACGACACCAGAAGTAGTGTAAGTGGCAGTCCGATCAAGGTATAGAGACGACTAAGTATGAGTGCTGGGTGCACGATCGTATCTAGAAGTGAGTTTGGCATGACAATTGTGAACATGCATGACTGATTTTGCATCACAAGTCGTTTTTAGTTGCTTTTACAAGCAGGAATAATTCCTCTCTCAGGTGAAGAAGCTGCAACTGTCCGACGAGGACAAGGAGGACCTGTTGATCAAGAAATACCCCGGGTGGCAGTGGGTGAAACTGGGTCTGCGCTCACTGTGCTCCACTCTCGGACTGTTCCTCTCCTGGCGACTGAAGGACGCGGCGGCGACCTTCTCCGTGTGCCACTGGGGCGGCAGCAGAATTGCGGCGGCCTTGTTCAAGATCATGAAGCACAAAGACACGGCGCTGCAGGAAATGGTGGCCTTGGGGATTGGATGGTACTTGAATTTGGAGTGGTTTTTTCTGATGTTGCAGATGATGCATCTTTCCTTGCGGAAATTTTGTGCATGTTGATTCAAGCAAGGTTCAACAAGGTTGATCAATCTGTCATGCATATATCACATAAACACAGGTATGGCTTCGCGTACCATTTGCGGCACTTGAACCGACCGAGTTTGCCACTGTTGCTCTCCTTGCCACTACTACCGGTTTCTCTGATGGAGCGAATTTTGCAGGGGATCACGTTGCAAAATGAAATAACGACGGCAGGGAGTTAGGGTGAAGTCAATTGATCACGGAAGTTTGAGGAAACATAAAAATCATTTGGAAGATGCAAGATGATACATCACGTATTTGGAAAAAAGCTCATGTTTCTGTTGAAATAGAAATTGTACTTGTACGATTGTAATGAACGGAGGATAAGTCGAATGCCGAGATTCAAATTTACACCTATTGTCACGCACGCCTTTTCGAAAGCTAGTTGCTGCTCGACATGAAAAAGGGCTATATTCGTATTCCCCAAAGTGGTTCTTGTTGCCGCACCGATGTGAATGCCTAGCAGCTGCTGGCCGTCGCGTCGGAGGATGTCGCCTGCAGTTGTGTTCCCTAGCGAGTAATATTTTGTTGCGGTCCATGTCCGTTGACCATTGATTGTGGTTTTATCGCTCAGCGCAAAGGGGCCGGAAAGGGCTCCAGCAGCTTGAAAGCTAGCGGCTACGGGCGCCAGGCGCAGGCCTTGGGGGCGGGCGCCGTCTTTTTTGTTTTCGCCCCGAAAGAAACGAAGCGCGACGGCGTTTGCCTATCGCCCGGGCGTTACGTCGGGAAATTGAGCGGCCCGCCGTGAAGCAGAAGAAGCACGGCGAGACGAGGCGCGCTGCCTGTCTTTGCGAGGGGCGGGCTTCCTGGGTTGGGGTTTGGTTGAGCGACGCGGCGGATGAGCACGCGCGTGGACTGCTCCACGCATGCCCGCCCGCAGCCGTAGTGCCGGGCAGCCTTTCGGGCAAGACGACCGAAGCGGCGCGGCCCTTGCGCCTGCATGTGGGTGGTCTGATTCATCTTTTGGAGCAATGGGCGCCGCGCGCAGGCCGGGCCCAATCGGTTGCAGCCCAGCTGGCCTGCCGGCCGGGCCTGCGGGGGCCGCAATGAAGTCCGCCGCTCCGCAGACACGAAGTGGACCGGGCGAGCAGGCCTGGCCGGATGGCGCGGGCGCCGGGACGGACGAGATGAAGCGCGAAGCGGGTGAACGACCGGGCAATATCAGAACAAAGAAAGGTGACGAGAGCCACGCGGCCACGGTGTTAGCTGCCCCGCGAGTCAGTGCGATGGGCCGCGCGGCTTGTTCTGGCCGGCCCTTAGCGACTGCCCGGCCCGCCGCGCGCGATGTTTGTAGCGGCCGCCGCCCGGGGCGGCGGCTTCCTTTCGCGCTGCGGCACACCTGGCCAGCCGAAGGGCGGCCCGCCCGGTCGCTGCCAGGGCGCTTGACCTCCTGACCCGGCTCGGTCGGGCGGCCCCCCTGGGCGTTTTCTATGTCGGGTCTAATGCCCCCGCGCTGTGGTAGCGCCTGGCCTGCCCTAGTCCGCCTTACTTAGGCTTTTTTGGATGGGGCGCGCGCGCAGGCTTCGCTGCCTTTTTCGTTAAAGAAACTCGCCCGAGCATAATGAATTGTAGTCGAGTGCGGTGTCGGTGTGGTTCGTTTTGATTTGCGCCAACGTTGTTCAAGGAAGTCAACATGTACATACCTGCAGCGATGTGATCCGTTCCAGCGGTTTAGGTTTCCGTGTTCTTGTATGAAGTTGAAAAGATCTAATGGCATTGAAAATGAAATAAATGCGTGACGCAAACTACATCGACCACCGGTCCCAAGTAGCCGAAGCGTGGCAGAACAACATTTTATAAAGAAAAATGCGAGAAGAACAACATTAGCACTACGAGCACATTGTAGATGCAGTCAACCGTACTGCGTATTCATCATGACATTTTCTTACAAGGATCCGTCACGACACACCAGAATGATCAGATCAAAATGCATCTCAGGAAAAACGATCAACACCTTCTGTAGGACAGAAACAAACTAGAAATGTTCATCACAATGCAAGGCGGTTCTGCAAACATCCCTTCGCTCTCAAGAAATGTTCATGTTGACGTCTCTCTGACTCACTACTCGCAACAGGTGCAGGCCACTTTTTAGATTTTCTACTTCAATTCTAGTTTATTCCCATTTAGAAGTTTGCTTCACGACGAGATTATTGCGATAACATACTCGTATCAATTTTTTTTTTCCCACTGCCGCATTTCATCTTCCTACATGCTTTCTTTGCTGACTTTGCATCGACCACGAACGCGTAAAAACGTCATCTTCTTTTGAAATTATAATCAACTACATCTACAATAAAGCCAGAATTTGCAAATTGCACAAAACGGAACAAAATGTCTGTGGGAAATTTCACCGTCGGGGAGGAGTATGGGCAGCTGGTCCACATCCTCCGGACCATGCAGTCCTCCACCGACAACAACGCCCGGAAGCAGGCGGAGGCAGCGTACTTATCTAATGATGATTTGTGATGCAGAATTGTGAATGACCCTGAGGGTTTGTGATGCATGATTTCATTTCGAAGAAGCTCTGGCATCGCACAAGAAGTTACACCTAAGTGTGTCATGCGGTGGCCTCATAGTAAATGAGTTCCAAAAAGAACTACGAATCAAAAACAGCTACGGTGCCGCCAAGAAGCAGCCGGATTTTCTGGTGCAGGCTTTGGTGCAGGTGATCAAGGACGGTGAGGTCGATTTGAAAGATTTATCCTGAGTGAAAACGTCCCGACCCCATATTTGTGATGCATACTTGCATCTGCAGATGCATCTGTAATGCGCATCCGCATGAGAGCAATCTGAATCTGTACCTGTAGTCGTGTTCATCTGGGATTTGTAATGCTGTAAACAGGATGACCAGGCGTCTTTGTGATGCGGCTGTCCTTCATAACCAGCGCTACACTGCAGGTCGAAACTTGTCATGCATAATTCCCAAAACTTGGGGACTTGTGTTGCAGATGCACCAGCGCGGCTATGGGGTCGTGGGGGCGTTTTTGCACAGCATAAGATTACGCCGCGATTCTCCTCCGTCGGTTGTTCCTGCCCGATAAGATATCCTGTGCAAAAGTATCGTACTCGTACTAATTGCGCATATGCATGACAAATCTCTTTCCTAAGGCAAAATAGCATTACAAATTTCATTTGTAATGCTGAGCTAATTTGTCATGCGATTTATACTAGTACGATGCTTTTGCATTGCATATAAAATGCTGGACGACAAGGTCGTCTTCGCGGACGCGTCCAACCCGGTCAAACAAGCGTGCACGGAACAGCTGCTGGAATGCTTCAAGAACCCGGTCGGCCAGCCGGACAGTATAATAAAACGTTTTTTGTCATGCATAGAATGCAAGGCGGAAGGATGATATTTGTGTTGCGAAAACTCGTATTTTTTTAGAAAAAACATCAAGTCTATCATGCATATACGTCCAACTTAATACAGCTGTCGAAAAGATCCGTCGTCACATTGGTAACGCGCTCGTGACCCTTGCGGACCAGCACGTGGTCGCCGCCAACGGCGAGGGCGAGAGGAACGAGCAGCAGTGGCCGGACTTGCTTCGGGTGACCTGCGAGTTAACCACGGTCGAGAACCCGGACACGAAGGTTTGTGCCATGGACATTCTGACGGAATTGCTCCCCATCTACCCCAAGAGCATGAAGAACCTTCAGGGCCAGATGCACCAGCTGTTGGAACAGTGCTTCGGGAGCGAGAGCGCCAAGGTGCGCAAGACCGCGGTCTTGCTGGTCCTGGGCATGGTCATGAACTTCAAGGTATGAAAAATTGGACTTTATTTTTCCACCGTGTTTGTGATGCATTACTTTTCCATTACCATTTCAAATTACTTTTCTCATGCATAGTCGAGGTCACACTCACACGCACTCGAGAAAAAAATACGGAGAGCATGTTGCAGCACTAGAAGCTTCTTGTCGTGTAGAAACACAGCACCATCTTCTTCACTTTTTTGCGTATGATATGACTCAATCCCGAAAACAAACCAAAATCCTATAATCCTATCAGGCAAAGGAGTGGAAGCCCCTCCAGCCCTGCCTTCCGGTCATCATTCGAGTTTTGGAGAACCTCGCGCAGTTGAAGCAAAACGAATACTTGACGGAGGCTTTGGAGTCTATGACGGAGTGCTGCGAGTACGAGGCGATTTTTTTCAAGCCGGAAATCACCATGTTGGCGAACTTGTTGGTCCAAATCATCGGTGCCCGGGACAACTTGGAACAGACGCCACGGTATTGATGGATTTAAGTATTTGTGATGCATAGCACGAATAACAATAGTTCTGTTGCGAGAATAGACTAAGGGTTATAGAATTTCTTCTTGTCCGGGGAAAGATGAATTTGTCTTGCAGCATTCGCGTCATGAATGCGTTCTGTCATGCAAAAAGCAGGTTGAACTTGAAATCCATTTCCACCTCCATATCTACAGATCCGCCGCTTTGGAATTTTTCATCACCCTTGCCGAGCAGAAGCCGAAGATGTGCATGTCCCAGTGCGCGGACTTCGGTTCTTACCTCATCAAGGCCGCTATGGACTGCATGATGGAGGTTGGCACGATCGAGGATGACGGCGCCGACTGGGCGGAGATTATGGACGATGAGGAGGACGACGATGATGACGAACTCTTCAAACTCGGTGGGGAAGTTATCGATCGCGCGATCTCCGCTCTGTCCATGAAGAAGATCGGCGCGAGCTACTTCCAGGCGATCGGGGTTTACGTGCAAAACACCGCGGACTGGCGGTCCCCGATGTCGGCATTGTCGGCTGTTTCCGAGGGTGTGGAGTATGTGGAGAAAGATGACCACTTGGACCAATTGATGGATCTCTGTTTGAAACATACCGCACACAGTCATACCCGTGTGCGCGCGCAGTCCTGGCACGCGCTGTCCCGGGTCTTCGCGGACCACCGGGAGGTCACCGACAGATGGCACAAGCAGTACATGGAGGCGACCTTGCAGGGGTTGAGCGACCCGGTTCTCCGGGTGCAGACGAAGAACCTGGGGGCGTTCTTATCCTCTGTAAAAACGTCCCCACTCCAGAGTTGTCATGCAGATTTGCAATTGCAGGAACATTTGTAATGCGCGTCCCCAAGGGAGGCATTTCCGATTGTGTTTTGGCATTTGTAATGCTGCAAACAGGATAAGCAGATGGATTTGTGATGCGGCTGTCCTTGCTAATATGCACTACACCAGGGACTGCAACTTGTCATGCGTGGCTCCTAAAACTTCTGGATTTGTGTTGCTACGTTCCCAACTTGACTATGGGGTGGGGACGTTTTTGCATATGATAGTTCTTGTACTTTGGCGAGGCCTTGGATCCGGTCTTGATGGAACTGTACGCGAAGCCGCTGTTGGAGAAACTGGTATTATAGGATTTTGGATAAAGATGGTTCTAGATGTGCTTATTGCATGAGAAAATTGTTCTTGAATTCAATTTCCGCATGACAAATTTACTACTGATTGCAATATAAGCGTTGTTGAAAAATAAATATTTGTGATGCAAAACAACCAACTCCAACTATTAATCCAGGTCGAGAAGATCAAGTCCTGCGAGCACCGTGGCGTGATCGAGGAGTGCATCACCTCCATCGCCGTCGTTGCGGGTAGCATTGAGAAGGAGTTTGCTCCGTTCTACGACCACATTATGCCCATGTTGAAACAGTTTATCCGCGCGTCCAAGGACGAAAAGGAAACCAGATTACGAGGAAAGGCCTTCGAGTGCATGAGCTTGTTCGGGGTCGCGGTCGGGAAGGACAGATTTAAGGTATAATAAAGTACATGTATCATGCTCTTTGTGTTGCACAGAAGCATTTTTGCATTATGATATCTTGTTGGGAGCAGGACTTTGCAGCTACCTGTGCTTGTCTTGCACGACGACGCAGATCCAGATGTGCACTCAAACTAGAAAAATAAAATCACCTAATAAAAAACAACAGAACGACGTGACCGACTGCATGCAGAACATGCTGACCCAGGGCGGGCAGTCGAAATCCATGCAGGATAAGAAGAACGCCGATGTTATGCATTGCAAATATGTCTCAGTCTGGAAGGATCCAAACTTGTCATGCTGTCTTTGGATTCTATAAAAAATTTGTAATTGCATGACCAGCAAGAGACGCCCAGATTGTGCTACGCGGACGAGAGGGCGTTTGTCATGCGGAATAGGCATCAGGAACGCTTCCAAAAATCTGTGATGCTAAGTCATGCACTACAGGCATCATGATGGGTCATGCAGAATATGCATGACAAACCTGGCATCAATCTTCCAGACCCAGACATATTTGCATTTGATAGATGTTCTCACCGACTACCTGAAAGACGCGATCGAGCGTGTCGCGGGCGTGATGGAAGAGGACATGGGCCCCTTTCTCCAGGTCCTGCTCTTCGGCGGCGGTCACGGCTCGGGTTTGATGCAGGTCTTGGATCTCGCCCACGCGGCCAACCACATGACAGTCACGGACGACGACGAGGAGGAGGATGAGATTATTCAACTGCAAAACGGCCAGAAGGTGAAATCCGCCTATTTCAAGGAGATGGCGGACGCGGCGGAGACGGTTTGCTGCTTGGTCCAGAACAGTAAAAAAGCATTCCTTCCCCACGTCCCGAAAGTCTGCGAGGGTTTGATCAAATTATTCTCCATCGAGGACAAGTCCCTCAGAACATCACTCGAGGGCGACGACGTGTTGGCGAAATGCAGTGAAGTGTGGGCGGCGATCACCTCTGTTCTCGCCAGGTCAGACGCAAACATGTGCCAGCAGATGATCATGGAGTACTGCAAGTTGAACCTGAAGTGGCTGCAGGACGCTGACGACGCCGAGGAAATTTGCATGCTGGCCAAGGGAGTCGCCGAAGTGCTCTCCTCCGCCTGCCCAGCGACTTCTCTCCCCGATGATAAGAAGAAGGAATACGGCGACGTGAAACAGTACCTGGACACCACCTACATCCAGCAGATCTACGATTGCTGCGAGGCCAAGCTCGGCTACTGCTTCCAGGAGCGGGAAAAATCCTTATTGAAGGAGTCCGAGTGGCGTGAGGGTGCGGAGGGGGATGACGTCGAGGGCGAAAGAAATCAACTCGACGACATGGACGAGCACCACGAGGCCAACGTGGCTCTTTCCCAGATCATCGGCGCGTTGATGCAACTGAACCCACCCTACTACACGGAGAACATCCTGATGAGAAAAACGGACCCGATGCTGAGAAAATTCTTGGACAAGTCGATTATTAGTAAGAAACTGCAGAAGAAGGACCAGGAGGTGATCATCAGCAAAAACAAAATCCTCGCGTACTTCATCGCGTGCGATGTGTGTGAACACTTGATGGAATCGGGTACCCAGTCCTGGCCGGCATTCTTGAACAACCTGTTCGTGGATTTACAGAACGTGGACTATGAGGTCAGACACGCGGCCAGCTACTTCGTCTATCTCGCAGCGAGAATCGCGGGTAGTGACGAATCCTTTGCAACCCAGGCGTTAGAGAAATTAGTGCAGGTCTTGAAGGATCCGGCAGAGTACGGAAAGGCCGCACAGAACAAATACGCCAGTGTGGATGATATCAAGGTATAGATAGTTTTTGGTTGATTTTTTTATGCAGCTGGATGAGAAAACGAAAGCGCATGACAAATCATTCCGAGCTGTTCTGAATGTGTTTGGGAAACTTGCAATGCACAATCTACTACATATAACATAAACAACCACCTTCACCTCAGCTCGCGGAAGACAACACGGTGGCTGCCGTTTTTGCCCTCCTGGCCTACTCACCAGCGTTTATCAAAATGAAAAATCCCCCCTCCCCATACTGAGACGATGATTTGTGTAGCATGATTTGAGACCACAAATCATGTTGTCATGCTAGAACGCAAAAGAAGCGGACTGTAGTGCTGGGTGGCGTAGGAAAGCATTGCGCCTTCAGCATGACAGCAGGCAAGTGGAAATGGAAAACAGCATGACAAATTGCCTGCAAAGGAGGGAACAACTGCGTCGCTTGGCCTTCTAGCAATACAAGTCAATTTGTCTACTCAAATACAGCAACACAAATTTTGTTTTCGATATGGGGAGCGAGGGGGGATTTTTCCTTTTGATAGCGTTGTCCCAGAAACACCAGAGCCTGTGGGAGGAGTGCATCCTGCCGAAACTGCCCTTGAAAATCGACACGGAGGTTGGCCCGCAGGTGATCATCAAGTTGATTGAGCTTTTCGCCGCGGAACGGGCGGACGTCACCAACAACGGCAACCCGGTCCGGGTCAGCAAGGTGTGCGCGGCGTTTGCGGAATCCTTATGAATTGCAAAAGTATGATCGTACTAGTGGAACAAATCGCATGACAAATTCCCTTAGCATGAGAGATAGAATTTGTAATGCGGATTTAGCTCATGCTCAAAAAGGAGATTTGTAATGCAAAAATAAATACACAAAAAAATTTGTATTGCATATCCTGAACAGCATGCGGATTACTACGACTACGATACTTTTGCACTGGATAACCCTACAAGGTCAGCGACAGTGAAGACATGGACAAGAAGATCCGGTTGTTGTTCAGCAAATTTCCCCCGACCTTCTTCGAAACGACCCTGAAACAGAACTTTACCGAAACCCAGTGGAAGAAACTGGAAAAATTGATGAAGGACCCCCTGTCGGAGAACTAGGATATGAGGTTCTTGAAGATGTTCTTTTCAGGAACAAGGAGGTTTTGATGATGTCACGACGTACTGTGATGATGTTGTGAGTTTTTTGAAAAGCAGCATCGGAATCTTTTGTCAATGCACAACTTGAACTTACTGTAACCGAATTTAGCGTAAAACAATGAAAAAACAAGAAAAACGACAGATTACCACTTGACTACTTCTACTTGCTTTTTATCGACGATGATGAAGAGGTTGGATGATAAAATTGTTCTGGCGGACAAGGCACTTCTACTACTTGTCAATATTAAAGAACTGCGACAATTTCATTCATTCAACATCTCAACACTCAGTAACTTCGTATGTACACTAGAAGAGGAGAAAAATTTCTTGATGCAGCCGATCTGACGTGAAAGAAATTTTGCCTCCCACAAGAACACACTTGGAAATTCATAAATCAATCACAGCAGCAGAAACTTTTCCTCGCAGAAGTTTTTGCACGGAACAACAAAACTACTATAGAATGCATCAACAGAAGATGAAGATGGACTTTGCAACTACAGATAACTCGAAGAAAACTAGGCTTCTAAATGAATAGCAGAATCGGAAGATTATTTTGCCATCAGAGCAATGGAAACAACAGCGAAAGATCAAGATGTACTGTAGATGATACGACAAGGTAGTACAGAAACGGCTCCTTGCAAGAATTCCACGAATTATGCATTGAGATCGTTGGTAGAGCTACTTATCTATGCGGAGTCATGCTCTCGGCTCAGTACGTAGCTGATAAAGATAAGACGAGTACTTTGACAACTTCTATACGAAGGTTGTAGTGGTGTAATCCGCCCGATTCACTACTATTTCCTCGTAGCTGTACTATCAGTATCACAAGAAGGCTGCAACAAGATGAAATCAAAATGTACATAGCAAAGGCTAGATTAAGATTTGTTTTACAATACAGCAGGTGCCTGTATTGATTGCTTCAACAGTTTCGCGAGCAGGAGAAAAAAGCATACAACAATCTGGTTTTGGTATAGTCGAACCACGGAACAAAACCTTCGCATGCCAAGAGGTTCACATGCTTGGAGAGGGACAGCTTTTATACCGTAACTCCAAATTTGATGATTTACTACGGAGGTCTCTTTCGTATCGAAAAAATGATGAAACCGAGCTGCAACGAACTTCGGTGCAGGTGGCTGTGCCGGTGGTCCCGAGTTTCTTTTCGCACGCAAGGCTGTTCTACAGAAAACTTTCTCGCGCTTTTTTTGGTGTTTTCCTGCAAAGAAATACTCTACAACTAGTACGAAGCGAGAGTACAAGGCCGTGCAGGAGAGTTGGTTGCGAGAGAATTCGTTGTTACGAAACACAAATGTTCCGTGAGAGTGAACGATATGGAGAAAACAAAAGGGCCGGCATGTTTCATATTCATCTTCATGTGAGGTTTTGTTTTTGCTTGGAAATACAACAATTACACACAGCAATATGTAGAAGTGTTGGAAAAAATGACCTCCGCCGGCGTCTCTATCGGCAGGCGGTGCGCGCGTGTTAAGTGCCCGGGCTCGCTCGCGCGCATTAATTTTCCGGGGCGCGGCATGGAGGCTGAACGAGGTCGGCGACAAGTTTCCGCCCCGTCGCTGCTTTCTCGTCGGGGACAGTTGTCAGAGCCCGCCGGCCATAGGACTCGGGCCAGGGGCGGCCCTTTGTATTTGGGCGGTGCTGAGCCTCGCCGGCGCATTGCCTCCGCAAGCGGGGCGGCCGCGGGGCCCGCGACTGCTTGGCGCGTTGGGCCGGTCTCTCCTGCAGCGCGGAAGGTTTGATTGTTAGTTATGCAAAACATACCGCCGGCGATTTCCGGACATGAAAGCAGCGGCGAAAGTGCCTCGCCCCCTAATTCGGTGGGCCAGATAATGGCCCGCGCCGGCGTTCATTGTTCAGGAGTTTGATCATTAGGCCGGCAGGCCTGCGCCCCGCCTCAGTTTCCCGCGCGGGCGGCGCCCCTACCCATTGCCCCGGCGCGCCCAGCGCCCCGCCCTTCCCGTCGGGGCCTGCTTTTCTTCTTGCCCGCCTCATGTCTGTGTTCGGCGTCGTACGCGAAGCGCTAACGAGGCCGGCCGGGGCAGGCAGCGAGCCGCCCGCCCGGCGCGGCGTTTTTTCGCCCGGCGCGTGCGCGGGCGCGGGCGGTGCTCGGGGATTCGCCCGTCCTCCCGCTGCCCGTTCGATATCGGCCAGAAGTTTATTCCGTAGGCTTTTCAATTCGCTGCCCAGTGCGCTGGTGCGCATTGCCTTTTACACAGGAGCGACTACCAGACGTAGCGACTGCGGCAGTTCCTTGGACAGATTGGCTGTTCGCGAGAGAGTGCTACGCCGGAGGCTAACTCGAATTGTTGTTGCGTAGTTGCCCCAGGCGGTCGTCGACCATCATCTTCCACAAATAAGAGCGTTTTTTGTCCAGAGAGATTTCGCACACAAATTGAGATGGCGGGTGAGCTGCGAGTGCTTTGCGATTACGATTTTTTTTCTGTCTGAGTCTGAGTCGAGTTAGGGGAAGCAGAAGGACCTCAAAATCGAAAGCAAATGCGTTGGCAGAGCTGTCAAAAATAAGTTGAAGTACCTCACCTGCAGCTGCAGCCGTTTACTTACTTACGTTAGTGCAACTGGTACAACCAATCCGAAAAAAGAAAAAAAAAACCATGCTCACCGCGAACTTCGTGGAGCCGACCCCGCCGGGGGACAGTTCCACCAAGGCTTTTTTCCAGCGGCAGATCGACACCTTCGAAAACGACAAAAATCAGTCCGACCAGGATCTTATGCACTGCAAAAGAAGTATCGTACTCGTACTAATCGCGTTTATGCATTACAAATCTTTATCTTTTTGCTCAGGCAAACGCAAATCCGCATTTACAAATTCAATTTGTAGAAATGCTAAGTCAATTATTTGTAATGCAGTTTATACTAGTGCGATACTCATACTTTCATAGTGCATAGATCTGACCTCGCTCTGGAAAAATTTCGGATGCGAGACCAAAGCGGGCCGGGCCTTGAGAAGCTTGTACCATGACAGCAAGTCGCACGCCAAGATCTCGGGGAGGATCAACCGGAATCGCGGCATGGTGAAAACCAGTAGCCAAAGTAAATTCGACAAGGAAACGGCTTTGAAAGAAGCAATGTCAATGAGCACGAACAACGGCGTGAAAAAGTGCCCGCAGAGGGACGGGAAGGTATAGATGCTTACTTTGCCAACCATGCTATAATCCACTAGATTCTGGCTCTGCATCTTCTACTATTGCTGCGTTTCGTGCATTGGAAATCAAGTCTCAGTCATCTGTCATGCATGGTTTGCATTGGAAATCGAGTTTGTCATGCATGGTTTGCATTCATAATTAAACCGAATCTTCATCTCCAGGTCCCGATCCCACGTGTCGGCTTAGACAAGAGGCAAGACGACGAGGACGACTGGACCACCATAAAGGGCCACAGTGTCATCCGCGGGAAAAAACCGCTGACTCAAATCAAGGCCGAGAACAACGAATTTGTGGAAGTGCAGTCGAAAGTGGGGGTGAGAAGGGGACGGGATAACGACGCGATGAAAAGGGAGTTGGCGAATAAGTTTCAGTTCGGAACTGCCTACATGTCACCCGCCGAATTGAAAATGAGGAGGGAAAGAAGGGAAGAGGAGGAACAGGTAGAGGTTGTGTTTTTTTCTGCTGGTGCAGCATCTGCGTGAGGTCTTTGTCATGCGAGAGAAGCAATGTGACGTATAGGTTTCTGATGCATCTGCATCATGTCTTACAACAAGAACCATAATTGAAACAAAATTATCTCAAACTCCAGCTCTTCGCCATGGAGAACGAGAATTTGACGAGGCAGGACGTGGAAATGTACGAGGACTTGAAGCAGGGGATCAAATATCCAGGGAGAAAAAATCACTTTATTCGCCCCTGTAGTTGGCAAGAACTTTCGTTATTTGTGTTGCTGATACAACAACAGCACGGCATGCACGGCTGTACGTTCATGGTATTAAGCCCGCTTGTGCATTACAAATTGGCTTCCTGACTAGACAACGAGGGTAGACTGGTATTGTTTCTCCCTCCCATACCCCAGAGCGGCAGATGTCCCTCACCGTGCTAGACCGGCAGTTACAGGACAACCCGGAGCTTCTGAAGCCGAAAGAGCGGATTCTGCTCGGCAAGGAAGCGCTGGAATTGGTATGAGAGTGCACAACTCCCCCTCCCCCTCATTTGTCATGCAAAACCGCAAATCCATTTGCTGCTCTGTGGCACTGGTTGCATGACACATTGATTTGTTCGGAAGGCCAAACAGTAAGTACTACCTTCGGCGGGTGAACTTGTCATGCACAGGCTTCAGGAGTGCTGGCGTTTGTATTGCTGTCCATGCCATACAAATGAGGGGAAGGGGGGGTTATGCACTCTCATAATTGGACAACCGACTGCAGAAGGACCTGCAGGCTCTGCAGAAATTTGAACTGGAGAAGTTTGGGAGAATAAAAACCAGAAATGCATAGAAGCGATAAAAGATAGCAAAAAATCGCGGCCGAGATGCGGTTGTGAGATGACTTGGTGGTCCCAGTACGTGGTGCTTGAAATAATTGAAGCATGATCGCGTGCAAGAACAGTTCTCTGTCGCACAAGACCAAAGAAAAGCAGAGCTAGACCCCTTTGCGAACCGTGGTTTTTATCGCATTTATTCGAACTGCCTGTTTTATTTGAAACGAACTTTTTTCCCCGATGTACTTCTTTTTCGCAAAGTAAAGAATGAAGCAAATTCAAAAAGGGCTGAATATAGATACACAAAGCACAGAACTAGACCGACAAGGTTTTTATGAAATCGAGAGTTCAATAGTGACAGCGTTGCAAGTGGCTATGAAGAAAGCTCTTGCTACAAAAATTGGAAAGCAAGTCGTCTTGCTTGTACGACCTCCAAAATATTTCAAGTCGCAATCTGTAATCATGTTCATCGGCGGCCAGAAGATGGTATCCGCTCGAACTTGTACTTTTTCGTATGGACAAAGGGAAAAAGCACTTCACCAAAGATCTCTCAAAGAACCAAAAAACGCGATCAATCCATTCAGATGAAAGAGCTCGAGCGTGTACTAGCAAAACGGGAAAAAGAAAAACAATAGGGGATGTATTTCGTCTAGCACTAGTGAAGCGCACACTGATCAAAGGTGCAAATACGTATGACTCATCTGTGTCATCTGTCCTTTCTGAATCTGAAAAAATTATCACGTATATCTACTTCGTTCAGCCCATGGTACGTACCGTAGGTCTTTTTTGTGTAGCAGAGACATCAAAAGACAGCAACATACTTTCAACACATTTCGCACCTCTAGACGACACACGTGGATAGCTTTTACATGATATCAAACATGAAAAAAGGTACTTAGGAAAGATTTTTTGAAGTTGACGACAAATGAATCACGATTACAGAAGAAGTAGAACGGAATTTGATAGTTTAGTACAGAAGTAGGACCAGTAGAAGTCGGTAAAAGTACTAGTTCCACCTACTCATTGCGACGACCAAAAGCGGGCCAATACTAGTTTTGGAGTTTGAGTTACAGATAAAGAACCAACTACAACGTTAAGAGCTATAGTTGCGGGACCTACAACAGGCAGTGACGTTGTACTAAGCTCCTCATCAAGACGAGGACCCACAACTACAAGAAGCATACAAGTCGTAAACTCCTATGACGATGCAGGGCGCCGGGCATCCAAATGCGGGGAGAAAAAAGGTTCTCCTGAAGGTGATCATCCTTGGCGACAGCGGCGTAGGGAAGACATCACTCATGAATCAGTACGTCAACAAAAAATTCTCCAACCAATACAAAGCGACCATCGGAGCGGATTTTCTGACAAAGGACGTCATAATAGGTACTAGTACTTAAGCTTGTCTAACTGTTTCTCCTGCATGAATTCGTACAGTAGTACACTGTGGATGATGTTGATTTCATCGTGCTTTTTTCAGTGGTACCAAACTCACTTCTCATGTCGAACAAGGAACATACGAACTTTTCTTCAAAAATTCTATCAGATGAAAAGTTCGTGACGATGCAAATATGGGACACCGCCGGACAAGAACGATTTCAGTCCCTTGGTGTCGCCTTCTACCGAGGCGCGGACTGCTGCGTCTTAGTCCACGATTTGACGCAATTTAAATCCTTCGAGCACCTGGAGTCCTGGAGAGAAGAATTCCTGGTCCAAGCAGCACCAAAAAACGCAGAAAACTTCCCGTTTGTCGTGCTCGGTATTTTACAAATTTGTTTATTCCTGTGGAACGAACAATTCTTGTTTAAGTTTAAGATGGAGAGACTTTTGCATGGTCTGGCGACATTCTTGAGTGTCAAAGAAGTTGTCACGCGTGTTATCGAAAGGTCGTCAATGTTTGTGATGCAAAAGTAAAACCATTGTCAGGTAACAAGTCCGACCTGAACCCGCATGTGACGAAGAACCACCTGAAGTCCTACAAGGATTGGTGCCAGCAGAAGGGTATCAACTGCAAACATGTCTGGGTCTGCAAATCTGTGATGCTGAATTGTACATGACTGAAATACTTCCCAGAGCAGCAAAGCATGACAAGTTTTCCAGACACGCTCTTCTCATGCGCAGTCCGCCTGAGAAACTGCGCTTTTGTATGACAAGAGGAGGCGTCGTTTTGTTAGTTATGCAACACAGATTTTACAGGAATGTCCAACGAGCATTACAAGTTCAATGTTTCCAGGCCCAGACATATTTGCACGGCATAGAGGGTGAAATTCCGCACTACATGACCAGTGCCCGGGAAGCGACCAACGTCGAGGAAGCGTTTCGGGAAATCGCGAGAAAAGCGCTGCAGCAGGAGGCGGCGGAGTCGATTAGTTTATCAAGTGCAAAAATGTCTGGGTCTGGAAACTTGTGATGCTGCGTTGGGAATAGGGAATGCTCTGTAATGCACAGCCAAGCATGAGAAATATCTGCGCTTCTTTGTGTTGCCTTTTTCGCATGACAAACTGTGTTTTTGCATGACAGGCAAAAGGGTCTCTTCTTGGAGACGCATCACAAACTTTTTGGTCATCCCAGACAAGCATGACAAGTCTCGCAGTCTTCCAGACCCAAACATATTTGCATTCGATATAGTTACGTCCCGGACAACACGCTGATCAACTTGAACCAGCACGAACACCAGCGCATGGCCGGACCGCCGCCGGGCGCGGATATGAACTGCAAAAGTATCGTACTCGTAGTATTGCAACACAAATTACCTCAGCATGACAAAGAGAGTTTGTCATGCTGATTTAGCTAGAAAATGACATTTGTCTTGCATGATTGCGATTAGTACGAGTACGATGCTTTTGCACAGGATAGCGGACTGCGCTTGCTGATGTTGATGATGAACTTCTTCTACAAGTTTTTGGTAGCACAACTTGACTAAGTACAACCGGTTTTTTATCTTGAAGACGATTTTTTGATTTATCGGAGCAGACGACCACGATTCTGGACTTGATTAACCTGGGAAGATGATGAACTTCTACCACTTCTGTTCATCGACACAACGAACTGTACAAGACGCAGAGAAGGAGCTACTACACGACCCCGCGACCCCCCTCCACTGTATCAATTGTTCACCCTCTTCTTAACAAAGCCAAGTTACATCACGGGTGCAAAAAAAAACGTTCCATGTTGTACAACTGTATCATGCACGTGAAATAAGAAATGATTGATCCTACTCGTGACGCAGGAGCGCCGGGGTGATTGTTTCAAGAAATAAAGCAATTCAGAAAATCGCAACAATCCACAGGTACACAACAAACTAGACGACAACTTCGAGATTTTCCGCCCTCAGCCCTCATCTGTTCTCGCTTGATTAACGACCATAGCGGGTTCGGCTTTCTTTTCCCTCATGACGAAAGAACTGCAGCCACCATCCGAGACAACACCTGCGGAGCGGCACGAGATTTTTTGTAAAATGAAGGTCTGGTCGTGGTCCAGGAGTTGCACCACTGTATAACATCCATACAACCTGTATAACTGTACTTGACGGAGATAACGTCGTAGTTAAGTACACAAGAACCAGCAACCGCGTTCATCGACTTGCAGCCTGCACCACTATTTGTCCTCGACGACGTAAATTCCAGTCGCTTTTCAAAGAAAAAGTTGGACGATACTAAGGTTGCCGACGAGCTGTTTCGGGAACTTCTAAAAGGCCGAACGAAGTAACGGAATAATGAACAACAGTAAAGAAGATGATGACGAGCAGCCGGCGCCGGCGGTTTCTTAGTTCCGTCGCGCTCCAGCAAGACTCTGGGCAACTTTCCCGCTCCAGGAAAAAAAAAAATGTAGGCGGGGCAAGAAGTCGAAAATCATAGTTGTTTGGAACAAGGAGAAAAACAGCAACAAAGGACCTGTGGTTAATGTTGACATAAAAGTTGAAGTTGTTTTGGTCTGTTTTGCTTGTAACCCAAGTTTATTGTCGCTTTGATGTTGCTCTTGTAGTCGCGCTTGATGCGTGGTGCGAGGACACTAAAATTTTCATCTTCTCGCAACAACATGCTGAAAACTGTACTGAAAATTTTCACACCTGAAAAATGAGAGTAAAAAAATCAAAGCAAAGAGTCTTTGTTGATCGATAAGGACGGAGCCAGGAGCCGGGTGGCAAACCATACAACTGGTTCTCTGTGCCGTTTGGCACTAGAAGATGAATGTTGTGCAAAGTATCACGTTGTTCACCTTCACTTTGTACTACCTGAACCTGCTTTTGATGCCGGTGTTTCCCTACGCTGTCGGATGAAGTCAGTACACGGAAATATGTGCTGCTCGCTCCAGGTAGAAGATCTTTTACACGTGATGTCGATCCATCGATCCAATTTGATCTATTTGTCGGAGGGCTTGACACATAGTTTTTTAGCACTTTTTGCAATTCCTATTTCCTCTCCACGCTTACTCGTCTTGCATCTGTTCATAGAGTTGCAGCCGAAAGCGCGATAACAACCGTCTTGCGGCCATAGCCATTGTTATTCGATCATACAGCAATGAGTGAGCAATGAGTCCTTCTCTTTTTCATGTATCATAGCCATCATGGCAGAACCAGAAGTATTTAGCATTAGACCTTCCATTTCATTAGATTTAGAAAGTTACAAACGAACAAATTCTGCGCTACTCTGAAGTCATCAACGCCCGGAAAGAGAAAAGGCCAAAAATATGCCGAACCCGGCTGCCGCAGCCGCGGCGGGCGATCATACCGCACAGGAGGCGTCTTCTCGAACTAGTAAGCCCAAGAGTGGAGGTGGTGCGCCGAAAAACTGGAACGCCAACTTCCTCGACGAGGAAGAGGAGCATCGTGAGAATGTTTTCTCCGCAGCGAAAGAGTTCCTTGAGCTTTTGCAGGAGGAGAAGAAAAAAGACGACAACCTCTACTTGAGCGAAGATTTTCGAAAAGGACCAAGAAACTATCGCTCAGCGACGGATGATCATCATCGTGAACGAGCCATTAAGGAGAAGCAGGCGAAGCAGCAAGCGGACCTGCTTTGGTTCCACCTGAAACAGATCGACGAGGTGGTGAAGGAGCAATGCGGGAATAGTTTAAACTCTCTACTCCACGAGGAAGCGCAGGTGTTGCTGGAATTGAAACTCCATTCGGTGGTTGAAACCATCCAGGCGATTGAGCAGGGGAGAGTTGATTTTCAAAATAATGGACAGCACGCCGGGACAAGTGCGGTGTCGTCTTCGGGTAGCTGTAGCACTTCAACATCTAGCAGCAATACAAAAAATTTCTCTACTAGTACTTCTGTACAAAATCTCCTCGACGTTTGTGTCCACAACTTGGATCAGGTGTTATCTTTCGACGGGTCCAACGCCCACGCCAACTGGCTGAAGGGGCTGTGTTTTCTGAAAAAATCGTCCGACATGATGACGACGGTTGGAGGTGGTGGAGATGAACAGCAGCAGAACAAAAATGATCTTCAGACAGAACCAGATGAAGTTCCAATCAACAACTCCAACCTCCATCAAGCCGCCAAAATGTTCCATAAAGCCGTCCACTCCATGACGAAGGGCGTGGAGTTTGCGCGCAAGTTCCAACTGTCCGAAACCCCGGTGTGGGAAGGGCAGCTCCGGGCCTACGCAGAGCAGGCGAAAAAACTGACGATAGAGCAGGAAAAGGACAGGAAGGAACGGGAGAGAGTTAGACTGCTGAAACAGGAGGAGGAGCGGAGAAAAAAAACCGCGCGGTTTGAAGATCACGAGGGGAGGCACTTGTCGGATGAAGAGCTGCTTGATACCGATGACGAAGAATTGACAGACGAACACTTTCAAGTAGTCTCGGACGAAGAGACAGTAGGTGGTGAGAAGAAGACGAACAGCACAAAGAAAAAGGAAAAGCGTTCAAGCTCAACAAGTAAAAACGATGGATCGCCAGCACAGAAGCCAGATCAACAAGGTCGTGATCAGGAAAAACAACACCCCGCCGACGAAGAAGAAGACCAAAAGCCGAAAACGGAGTTACTTTTGAAAAAAGATAATAAAGCCGTTGCCGCGGGAATCAAGCGAACGTGTGTGTTGACGAAGGAACAGGATGAGCTGTACGACGAGACAATTGCGCTCATGGAAGACGAGGAGGAGGAAATAAAAGCGCTAGCGCAAGTGCAAGAACAGCAGCTGCAAGAATCTGATAGCGTCGGAACACACAAGAAGAATTCTAGTGGTAAGGCGAACAGCAGCGGTAAAACTACGCTGAAGCGCGGGTTTTTGGCCGGGAAGCGGGTTGGGAGCGGAGGTAGTTCTTCAACTGCGTCTGGATCAAGCAAAGACGGCATGTTGCAATCGGGTACGACTTATCAAATGTAAAAATGTCTGGGTCTGGAAACTTGTGATGCTGGGCGGCGTCTCATGAGGAGGCTACGAGTGCTGGCTGAGCATGACAAGTTTCTGAGCTCCTAGGTGTTGCCTATTCTGCATGACAAACTGCGCTTCTGCATCACAGAAAAACGGAGCTCTTGGGTAACGTGCATGACAGTTTTAAGAGTCATGCCAGACAAGCATGACAAACATGAATTCTTCCAGACCCAGACACTTTTACATTTGATACGACTAGTAGCAGTGCACCCGACCCCTTCGCAAAGTGGCGGAAAGAGCACAAGTTTGAGTTCGACGGTTCTGCTTCGGGGATCATGAATGGCACGAAAAATAAAACAGACACGGCTGTCGAGTCGAACTACAATGAACAAAAGCAAAAGTGTGTACTAGATCATGATGAAGAAGAGTCCAGCGCCGTGGTAATCGCCACTCCTGCAGGTGAGGATGTGGATAGACGTGAAGCGACCGGCAACGAAGCTGGTTGCGGAGTGCCATCAAGCGAAGAGGAAAATGATGATGAGGTTGAAGAAGCCGATTTTCAGCATCAGAACACGGCTAGAAAGACGGCAACAAACGCGGCGGAAAAAGCAGAAGTGCCAGCAGGCGAATCCGGAACAAGAGATATAGACGACGCAGGACCACGCGAAGAAATATTGACGGCCCCCGCGGAGCCGGAGGATGTTCTTTTACAGGGTAAGCCGGAGCAGGAGGACACCAAGAACGGGGCGAAATCCTCGAAAAAAACGTTGCTTCCGCGCGAGGAAGGCGAAGAGGAAATAATTCCCGCGGACAC